ATAATTTTTCATCTTATATCTCAAGGATTTATGTCGCACTTTCAAGTGTCGATTTATTTTCATATTTGCATTCTCTTGGTGACATTTGTAAAAGCTGACCTGTAATCACAATGAATAGAAATAACTAATAATGGTTTTTGCATTTATGGAATTTCAGTTAGTAAATCCTTCAACCATTCAGCTTCTATACTAGTAGTATCAAGAGCTATCATTTCTGATTCCATTGTACTTCTAGCAATTACAGTTTGTTTAGTAGATTTTCATGAAATGGCTCCTCTTCCTAAAAGGAACACAAATCTAGTGGTAGATTTTACATCTACTAAGTCACTAATCCAATTTGCATCTGAGTATCCTTCTAATACAGATGGATAACCTTTATAATGTAAACCATAGTTCATAGTTCCTTTTAGATACCTCAAAATTCTTTCTAGAGCATCCCAATGACTCTTATCAGAATTTGATATATATCTACTAAGTCTATTTACTACATAAGCAATGTCAGATCTGGTGTAGTTTGTCAGGAATCCTAATGATCCAATTATTTGTGTATATTCTCTTTGTAATTAAGGATAACCTATATTTTTCTTTAGATGTACATTAGGATCATATGGAGTAGAAACAGGTTGACAGTTTGGGTTATAAAAATTCTTGAAGATTTTCTCTATGTAGTGTGATTGTGATAACACATATCCATTCTCATTCTTCAAGATTTTAGTGTTAAGCATAAGATCAGCTTGACCTAAATCTTTCATGCCGAATAAAACATATCAAATATCTCATATCTATACCTTAGTAGTCGACTAATAGCTTTAGTAGTCGAATACTCAAGCCTTAGACAAAGTATAAACATTCTGTCAAATTACAATATAGTCGACTAATGGACATTAGTAGTCGACTACTAGAGCCTTAAACAGAATATCAGTTTCTGTGTCAGTTACTAGAGCCTTAAACAGAATATCAGTTTCTGTGTCAGTTCAGACTAGTCGACTACTAGGCATTATAGTCGACTAATAAGAGTTGATTTTGAATTCTTTCTGTGTCAGTTCAGACTAGTCGACTACTAGGCATTATAGTCGACTAATAAGAGTTGATTTTGAATTTTAGACTTTCTATCGATTACAGAGTAGTCGACTACTAAGAAATAATCTGCATACTCAGAGTCTATTTGAACTCAGACTAGTCGACTAATAAGACTTGTAGTCGACTACTAAGACAGTTTTCTAACTGTTACAGGTTTTGAATATATGACTATTTATAGTCGTTTTAATGTGTTATTTGGGTTTAAAATATGTCTTTTCAGAGGCTATAAATAGGAAAAACATCAAAAAACAATAGATAAGTGTTGCACTCAAAAGATTAAACATTTGTGCATTCTAAGTGTTCTAAAATTCAGATTTTGCCTTAGAATAAAAGTTCTGAAATAGCCTATGTCCTTTGATCATTTCATATTAACTGTTTAGGCAAATTTCAGAGAGAAAAACTTATACCCACAGTGAGAAACACGTTCACAACACATTCAAAAGCCTATAAGATTAGATTTATACTTGCTTCAAAGAAAGATTCTCTCGGTTTGTGAGAGAGGTTGATCTCTTGGTCTAGAGGTCAGTTTATAATTGGCATGGTATTATCAATTGGGTTTGCAATTTGCATGGTCTTACAAATAGGTCATGTTTGCTTGTGATTTTGTAAGGTTTCAAAATTATAGTGGAAATCTCAAGCGGGATTTGCTTGGGGACTGGATGTACACCGGAGAGGTGAAACCAGTATACATGCTTGTGTTTGTGATGTTCACTTTCTGATATTATCATTCTTTCTTTGTAATTTATAATTTACTTTGCAAACTCACCCTCTAGTGTTTAAGTATAAAGCTTCCGTAGATTTTTATAAGTGTGCACTCTATTCTTAAGGGTCACGATCCTACACTGGGAATATATATAAGCAAATCAGACCCTACAGATTTATGCATCAAATCAAAGTTAATAACAAATCGATTTTGTTTGAGTATGGAGCTTTATTCATTAAAGATAAAAGAATGTACTTCTATTTAAAACTACATTAATGCCTTTAATTAGCTAGTGTGTCAACTTATGAAAATTGATGAGGAGATTAAAGAAGAAGAAGAGCAGGCACTACTCCTACTGTCTTCCCTACTAAAGTAGTATAAGTCTTTGCTTCAGATGATAATTGCGATGAACCAAACTTTAAAATTTGATGATGTGATAGCACCCCTACGTGAGAATGAAAAAATGACGGGAAGGAGCGCATCTAATGGTGGTGAGAGTGTACTAGATTTTGAAGGTTCTAATCTAGGGAGGAGTAAGGGAAGATGTGATAGTTATCGAGGAAGGTTGAAATCTCAAGCCCAAGATAAAAGTGAAATGGAGTATTACTATTATGGAGAGAAGAGTCACATTCAATTTAGATATTCCGAGAAGCAAGATGATTTGAAGAGTATTAGATAGATGAAGCTTGAAGAAAACGCGAAGAAGGAGGACTCCTTGGAAATTATGTGTGATGAAAGTATGGTACTAATGACGAAGAGTATTGGTACTGATGTGAGTAACACTAGGGTGTAAGATTCTACAGCCTCTATGTATGTTTGCAACAACAAAAATAGTTTTAACACATTGAAGATGAATGAATAACTTAGTGACATGATTATGGGAAACAACGAGAAGATGAAGATTGAAGGCATTGGGAGTGTTCGCTTTAAGCTTCACACTAAGAATGTTGAAATTCTTTGTCATATGAGATATGTCTCATTATGTGGTACTAATTTAATTTTGTTAGGTGAAATGGCATCACGTTGTATAAATATATAGGTGAAGGAGAGTAGTGCAAACTATATTGAGATGGTGATTTAATTTTACGAAGGAGGAAGACTAGCAATCATATTTGCTATTTAGATGGGCATTCTATTAATGGTGTAGATAATTCTTCTCAGACTCTTGTTCACAAGGTAGAGGTGAAGATCAAGAATAGAGTGAGTTTTCCTAAAGCCGTTAAGATACTTGGAAAATTTTTTATCGAGGGAGCATATATTAGGTGTCAACTCAAATTCCAAGTTGGATCTAGATTTGAAGGCTAGGCCCAGTCCTAGTGGCTATCTTATAGGCTAAGTTAACAGTTTTCTTGTAGGCCAAGTTGACTTGGTGGGCAAATCAGTGGTGTCTTTAAATAAGGCATCATATTCTCATTAGGAGAAAGGAGGGAGAGATATAATATTCTTATAATCAGAGTTTAATAGATGGTGTAACCGAGTTCAAGTATATTGTGAGTGAGAGTGTTTCACAGTGTTTGTCTGTGCAAAAGATTATAATTTGTTATTGATAGTGGATTGTTTTTTACCATGGCTTTTCCCAGTTTAGGGTTTTCATGTTAAATCTTGTATGAGATTCTATTTGTTGCTTTTGATGATTTTTGGGGTTTTTGCATGATAAAGAAAGTCCAACAATGTTGATCTAATGTAATTTTTTTTAATTTATGAAATGTAAACATTCATCATATTTTTTGGACAAGTCATCTCATTTTAGATTTTTCATCAGATATTAACTGATAAGGAGAAGAGTAGGATCTTTAGGATTGACATATTATCAAATTTAAACTGATAAATTGAGTTAATTAGTTTGCCCTAATTTATTCGCTTCTTTACTGTATCAACATAGCTTTGGAATTTTTTTAGAGATAATTAGTTTTCTGGCTTTTCTGAATTTTTGCTTACATTTAATGTTCTTATCTACACCACTATAATACAAAATCATGCTGGGTGTGATGCTAATAAATAGTGACAGATACTCTTGCATTGACAAACTGGATTCAGGTGAGTTTTCTTTTGTTTATGGGGTGTTCAAGTGAGTTTTTTGGGTGCTTTTTGGGATCATGCACAGTGCGTGGGCAAGCACTTATGTATTTGATGTTGTTATAACCTTCTTCTTTTCTTTTTCTTTTTTTGTTCTTTTGCACGAGATATAATCTTAAATTTCCTCAACAAATGTATATCCAAGCACATACTTCTATATTTCTTAAAATATAAATAAAAGAAAAATAAAAACTATTAGATTTCCACCACCAAGTGTTGATAAATTGTTTATCAGTTTTTGTTTTTCAAGAATTGAAAATATTTTAGATCGAGAAAAACGTCAGGTATCCGTATCTCTACTATTTTATATCCTTCCTCTGATTTGATTACCCATATGTGTGTTTTGTATTTGCTATTTTGGTTTCAATACAGTGTTTGTGTTAAATGCATTTTTTGCCATTTGGGCTTTTATCTTGAACATTTGCGCTGTAATTTTTTTCTTGATCCGTTGAATCTCTGGTTTCAGTATCTGCTTTATAGAAAGAAAGGAACAAGAAACAGTTAGAATGAGTGAATAGATAAAAGAGATCAGAAAAGAAGAAGAAAATGCTAGCATATAGTCTTCTATATATTGAGATGAAGAAATCACCTAGCTAAACAAAATATTGTGAATATTAATCATATTCATTATCAGAATGGTTGAATTGCCAACTTGAAGGGATAGGTTTAGTAAATGTTCACTACCAGAACTTAAATAACACTAGAAATAGTAATTTGTATAATTGAGAAAAAATAATATTCCCCAGAGCTTTCCCTTATAACAAACCTAATTGACTTGAATATACTCTTCTATACAAATGGGAGAACCCAAGTTTTACTATTCATACTATAGTAATACTACTGTAGGATTATTACTACAGCAAACAAGAAACGGGATGCTGCAGCATTTTTTGGATGTCAAAGGCTGGGAGAGCATCACATTCCAAACCATCGTTAACAACACCAGCCAACAAGGACGATAACAGCAAAAGCGATTGAATAAAGTACTAAAAGAAGGTGCGAATGTAATAATAAAAGAAGGGATGTGCTAAGAAAAATCCTGTAAGATTATTATATGCGAAGCTCAAAGAATAATTTCCCAGCAAATGGGTTTAATGTCTAGTTAAAATAACGAAACAAAAAAGAAAAGTTCGGCACCATAGATATAAATCTTGAAGAATAATTTCCAAACAAATAAGAATCTTTCCTACGTTACATACGAAAATAAACAAATAATGGAAAATACCGGCTACCCATACTGTTAAAAAGGAATTTGGAGGTTAAGACATAAAATAGTTGTCACGCTGTAAATATGTGGATAGAGCTGATCACATGCGAAGCGAATGAAATGAAATGGGGGCAAGGTTATCGATAGCGGCTAGCGTCGCATAGAGGTGAGGCATCACTAAGGCTATTTGGGGCTATTGCTGCAAAATATGGTAAAAAACACAAAGTCAAATAGCAATCTAATTTAAATATGTATAAATACTAAAGAAACCTTAACATGTAACCATCACGTCATACCGAAGATGACTGAAGGAATCAAAGAGTCGTCATCTTTGAGAAGAAGAGCAAAGTGGGTGAGAGGACTGTCCTAAGAGGAGCTCACGGTGAAATAAGTGAGAGGAAGTACTGAGGTAGATGCCAGAGGTGACGGGAGTATGCCGAAAATCATAGGAGACGGTGAAACGCAATGGTCAATGGTCATTGTCAATGGTCAGGTTTAATTTTAAAAAATAAACGTCAAACCGCTTTTAAATAGCAATCGAAAAGCGAATTTCACATGTAATTGCCCACTATTTACCGTTACGGCACACTATCGACCGTTTTTGCGAATGGAAAGTGCATATTCCGCAATATGTCACCGCTATTGGACGATAACGTAACGAGAAGGCACCGCTAACGCTATTAGTGCCGCTATTGAGGGGCTATTTACCGCTATTTATAACAGTGAATGGGGATAATACTTTTCAAACATCATCAAATGATAACGAGGTACAGATTCATTGTTAGCAAATGCTTTCTGTGTTTGGATGTTTAATATTTCGTAGAAACCACGACAGCATAGTATAATTCCCTGCACTTATTGGGCTACAATCGATTAAGAGAATTAAGCTTTTCGCTTGCAGAGTTTTTACTTGACTTTCAATCAAATATTCAGAAAAAAACTGATCTCTAAGTTTCCAAAGATTTGTATGATTTTCACAAGAAAATAAAACGAAAGGAAAGGAAAAAAAATTATCCTGACAGAAAATAATTAGACATGCAAAAACAATTTGGAATACATGTTAGACATTAATCAAAAATAATTTATTATGTTCCAACAAATTTCCTGATTACGCGTTAAAGAAGAAATTTATAATGATCTATTGACTAATCAGACTGGTGAGTCTAGTGTTTAAACTAAAAACCATTTATGAAAAAAGCACACAGCATCAGAGAACATTTTCGAACCTTCACAAATATTCAGGAGAGCTATGATAAGAAAATAAATAATTATAAAAAGCTATGCTGTAATGATGGATGAAATCTAGCGAAGCTCAGAAAGAATCTAAGCAAAAAAGATGGAAGGGCCTAATTATGCATGTAGAATACACGTAGAATTCAAAATACGCCCAGAAAAACCAGACAAATCTAATCCTAGCAAAAGCCAAAATTTTCAAAAGAACCCAAAAAGCTCAAAATAAAACAAGCAAGTACTTAAAGAGTAGGTTTGATTGTTTGTGTTTCCAGCTCTAGGAGAAGTAGTGTATGCCGTTGTTTGGTAAAAGATATAATGCTCTAATAAAAGAATCTGATTTCAGTAAATAACTACAACAACTATGACAAACAATGACAACAAGCAATAACGCGATAACAAAACAAGATAATAACCTGCATCATCACATATCTTGGACATAGAAAAATATGCAGTTTAATGAACAAACGATGATGAGCTAACTGTAGATGTTAAGATAACCAGAAAGTAAGCATTCCAGAACAAGCTAGACAATAAACCAATCTCAATCGCTTAAATCTAGCTCGTATAGTTTGATTTATGTAGATAACCTGTGGTGAATAATTGAACATATACATCCCAAGCAACAAATAGAAATTATCGAGCAACAAACAAGGAACACACAAGGCCCATTTCATCAAACGCCTAGTAACCAAATCTTCACATGAAAGATGTGAATCAGAGACAAAAACGTGTATCCATCCCACCAACATCAAACATCCAGCAGCAAAAACTTAATTAAAAAAAAAACATTCATATATATGTTGGGTTCGATTAATCCAATGAACCCATGTGGCCCAACCTACTCGATTATAGATTTGATTTAAAGTTACCATCAATTCAAGTTAGGATCAGGATGCTAACTACATGGTCTGGTTAGACAAGTTTCATGTTTATCAAGTTGGGTGGTTATCTTGAATATCTAAATGATAAGATCGATCGGAGTGTAATCCCACGGTTGTGATTAAACCATGATGGGTAGGGTTAATCACAAATATCTATATAAAGGGTGGGAGTCCCTCCTCTCAACCGTATGAAGAAAAAGAGACCTAATTCCCATCATTGGCTACGGGAGGAGAGAGGAGAAGGCTTCCATTATTTTCGTCGGTGAACGGTAACTTTAATCTGAATTTTCTAGTTCAATTATTCATGTCTAGATCGTTATATTACCCAACAGTGGTATCAGAGCGCGGTTTGTCACATCTCCTTTTAGAATAATTAGATTGCTTTTAATATTTGTGATCAACTTTTGCTGCCGAACATCACGTCGTCGCTCGCCGACGAAGGCAAGGTCATCGTCCTCACGAACTCCAACTTCGAGAAGGAGGTCGGCCAGGATCGCGGCAGCGGGGAATGGCGGCCGGCGCTCGCAGGCATGCGATCAGCAGCGGGATGCGGCCGACGTCGAGGATGCGAATCGCGGCTGGGATGCGGTCGACGCGGAGGGCCGGATCGATAACAGGCTTGCGTGCATGGCCGGGGAAGACTGCTTTGGGTCGGATGGGATTAGGGTTAGGGTTTTAATTAATTAATTAATTGAATTAGTTAATAATTAAATTAATTAGTATAATTAACTATCTTTTATTATTTGAGTTATATAACCCTATAACCCATTAAGCCATACCCGATCCAGAATGTAATAGACCGACCTGCTATAGTAATGGATTAGATCCATTAAAATTCTGATCCAACTCATTATGTAATGGGCCAGACCCATTAATTTCTAGACCCGACCCATTACAGTTTTGACCATTCATTTTATTTTGGTTGCTACAGCTCCGTTTTAAGTCTGATTTGAGCCCATAAATAATCGTTGGAAAGATCATTTTGTGTACTTTTCAACTATACAGCTTTTATTTTAATTTCATGAAGTTTTAATATAGGAATTTGGACAATTCATAAAGATTACTGTATGCACATAAAGATAATTGATTTACTCTGATTATATCCTTAATTCAGGTAGGGTAAATATTTAGGTTCATAATAAAATGGATTAAAGTATTAGATCAACCTATGGGGTTAAGGAAGATCAGTAAAATAGTCACTTAGAAATTATGGTAGAGTAGATTAGTGTCTTGCCCAAAGGTGACCAACCTATAATACCCTAATTTTCTAAGGTTTAGTTTAGTCTCATTTGGACTGGTAGGTTGCACTTACCTGTGGGTGGACTACTAGTCTTGCCCAAAGGTGTCTAGGAAATCCTCTACAGGATAAGTGGTACAGGATAGTTGAAACATATCAGTGAGAAGAGAATAACCCGATTGCCCAAAGGTTAGGAAGTGTTCAAATCAAACTGACAATGTGTAGGCTAGTCCTGTAGGTGATTATATATCACATTTGGGGGGCAAATAGCATGTCAAATCACTTGCCCAAAGGTGTGATAAGATGATCCCCCCGCCTGTCCCGCAGAATGGAGGGTTGCATATGTAAAACACTCTGACTCATCCATTCTAGCCCTAAATTGGATGTGAAAATATTAAAATTAATAAAATTGAAGGTCTCATTTGATTTATACGTTCATGGTGTAATGCAGATGGACGGACAGTTTATCCAAAAGCATCTGACTGGGATTGAGCCCCTAACCGGTTCCAACTATGGCAACTGGAAGATGCAAGTTAAAATAGTACTTGAGTGTCTTGACTACGACTATGTTCTCACTGAAGATAAGCCAGAAGAGCCTGATGAGTCATCAAGTCGATCTGAAAAGAAATCTCATGCTAAGTGGGTCAAAAGCCAACAAGCTTGCAATGCTGATCATTAGAGCATCGGTGGACCAGACTATTCGTGGAGGGATTCCGACTTGTGAAACTGCTAAGGAGTTGCTTGAGACCATCAAGAAGCAGTTTGAGGGATCCGTTAGAGCGAGACAGTACAATTATCTGATCAAACTCATTAATCTGAAATATGATGATGTTCGGCAGCACATTTTGAAGGTCTCTCAGTTGATCATTCGTCTCAGGGAGTTAGCACTTCAGTTAGAGGATGATCTGATGGTTCATTTTGTAGTCGCTTCTCTACCAAGCAAATTTAACACTTTTAAGGTGAACTACAGTTCTCAAGGCAGGAAATAGGACTTGAATGAGCTTATTGATGTATGTGTTGCTGAGGAAGAGCAGCAGAAAAAGCTGAGATGGCAAATCTAGCACATGACAAGCTTGGACCAAATAAGGCAGGAAAGAAATCCTTCAAGTATCAAGGGCACAATAAGAGGAAGAAGTCTTTCGGTAATCTTTCAACTATTTCTAGCACTTGTTCAGCAAGTGAAAAGGTTGAATGTTTCTTCTGCAAGAAACCTGGTCATATGAAGAGAGATTGTCTGAAGTATAAGCAGTGGCTGAAGAAGAAGGGAGGGAATAATCCACAGTCGGAAGGCAAGGACAAATGAGCAACTGCTTTTGGGAAACTCACAACCTTTGGAGATGGAGCTCGTAGGGACTTTCAGGCTGCGCTTGGATTCTGGAGTTTCCTTAGTTTTATCAGACACTTTCTATGTACCTCCTATGAGAATGATTTTTAATTTCAGTTTCTAGATTTTCTGAATCTGGTTATAGTTTTGTTTTGTTTCTATCAAAATGGTTTGGATGTTATCAGACATGATTTCTTAATTGACGGTCTTTATAGATTAAATTTAGATGCATCTTTTCCTTCCCCTCTCTGTATGTCTGTGAATTCATTTTCTTCTGATACAAAACGTCCTAGGCTTAATAGCAATTCTTCCATACCTTGGCACCGGAGATTAGGACATGTTTCAAGAAAGCGATTGGAATCCTTGGTAAAGTCTGGTGTTCTTAAATAGTTAGATTTCTCTGATTTTGGTACATGTGTTGACTGTATCAAGGGAAAGATGGCTAAATTGAGAAAATTTGAAACCTCTAGGAGTGAAGGTCTCCTTGACCTCATTCATACAGATATTTGTGGACCTTTTCCCACTCCCTCTCATGATGGTCAGCGATACTTTATCTCTTTCATAGATGATTTTTCACGCTATGCCTATATTTTTCTTCTTCACCACAAATATGAAGCACTAGATGTTTTCAAGATCTTTCAAGCTGAAGTCGAAAAATATTTAGAAAGAAAGATTAAATGTGCGTTCTGATCGAGGTGGGGAATTCTATGGTAAAAGCGACCAGGACGACACATATCATGGTCACAATGCATTGTTCCTCAGTACACTCTCCTAAGTTCTCCACAGCAAAATGGAGTAGCTGAAAGAAGAAATCGTACTTATCAAGATGTTGCTCGCAACATGATGAGTCATATGGCTTCTGAGAAAACCCTGTTTAAGACCACATACCTCAAAATCAGTGGGAACCGTTTTCTCATTCTAGTATTGTATGTAGATTATATATTGCTTGTCAGCAGCGATTATCATCTCCTACATGAGACTAAAGTTTTTCTTTCGAGGCATTTTGATATGAAAGATCTCGGAGATGCTCATTATGTTTTGGGCATCAAGATCCATAGAGATCGAAGTAAAGGCTTGTTGGGCTTATCTCAAAGGGCTTATATTGAGAAAAAACCTTCAGCAATATGGAATAAAGTTTGTGCACCAAGTGAAGCCCCAGTTATCAAAGGAGATATGTTCAATAAATCTCAATGCCCATGAAATAAAGTTAAGCGTAAGCTCGTGAACTCTAAGGAGTATGTCTCTGCAGTTGGCAGTCTAATGTATGCGGTGTCATGCATCAGGCTAGACATCAGTTATATCATGGGAATATTAGGCAGGTTTCAACAAAACTCTGATGTAGCTCATTGGAAAGCTGTAAAGAAGGTTTTACGATATTTGCAGAGGATCAAGGATTTCATGTTGGTCTACAGAAGGTCTAAAAATCTAGAAGTCGTCGGTTATTCAGATTCAGATTTACAGAAGGTCTAAAAATCTAGAAGTCGTCGGTTATTCAGATTCAGATTTCGCAGGATGTGCTGATAGCAGAAAATCAACATCAGGTTATATATTTCTGCTGTGCTGATAGCAGAAAATCAACATCAGGTTATATATTTCTGCTCGCTGGAGGAGCAGTTTCCTGGAAACGTGTCAAGCAGTCCTTAGTGACGACATCTACCATGGAGGCAGAGTATGTTGCTGTTTTTGAAGCAACATTGCATGCCTCTTGGCTCAAGAATTTCATCAGTGAACTAAAGGTGGTTGATTCCATTCAGAGACCAGTAAAGTTGTATTGTGACAATCAGACAGTCATACAGTTTGTAAAGAACAAGAATTTTTCCAGCAGGAGTAAACACATCGGTGTGAAGTACTTGTTAGTCCTTGATAAGGTCGAACAAGGATTGATTGAGGCTCCTCATCTGCCGACTCAATTAATGATTGTTGATCCCTTGACCAAGGGAATTTCTCCAGGGCTCTTCACTGAACATGTATCCAGTATGGGTGTTTTAGAGTCTTTCGATTCTATATGATCAATGAGATTTAGTTGTCGTGGTAGTTTTGTTTTATTTTCAAGTACTATATTCTGGATTGCTTTGAGCTCATAAAGAAACTATTGTGCTGATTTTTATATTAGCAATTTGATATTTTTCAAGCATTGTGTTATTGTTCATTGTTGCTTGATATATATATTTTTAAGTAAAGAAAACTAAAGTTTAAAGTAAAGAGTTTCAAGTTGATCGTAAAGAAACTCGAATTAAAGATAGTGGTCCATATAGTCATAAAGGTTAAAGTAAAGACTCTTAAATTTGTGCAGAAGCTGAATGTGATTGGACATCATATTTGAGGCTTTCGTTCTGGACTAAAGGTGATGGTTTTCACATGGTGGATGCCGGTAAAAGTTTCAGAACAGCATACATCTTTGTGTATGTTGCAGAGGACACTTAAGAGCGTACATCGGAATTGACCATAAGGGATGTACGGCTCTATTACACTCCACTAAAACCACCATAAGGAAAATGTCTTTAGAACATTAGTGGTACTAGCGGTTAAATCGTGGAGTGACCTTGTGCCATATTAGAGCATATAGTGTTTTCACGATCAACCATTAGTGGTACTTTTGTTTTAAGGAAAATGTTTCTGAAACTATCCTAGTTAGAATCATGATAACAAGTTATTTTCTAAAATAAATGGGTGCGAACCTGACTTTAAAAGTTTTTTAAAATTTAAATATTTTTTTAAAATTAAAATGAGGTATGTTGTGCCAAGTGGGAGATTGTTGGGTTCGATTAATCCAACGAACCCATGTGGCCCAACCTACTCGATTTTAGATTTGATTAAAGTTGTCATCGATTCAGGTTAGGATCAGAATGCTAACCACATGGTCTGGTTAAACAAATTTTATGTTTATCAAGTTGGGTGGTTATCTTGAATATCTAAAGGATAAGATCGATCGGAGTGTAATCCCACGGTTGTGATTAAACCATGATGGGTAGGGTTAATCATAAATATCTATATAAAGGGTGGGAGTCCCTCCTCTCAACCATATGCAGAAAAAGAGACCTAATTCCCATCATTGGCTACGGGGGGAGAGAGAAGAAGACTTCCATTATTTTCGTCAGTGAACGGTAACTCTAATCTAAATTTTCTAGTTCAATTATTCATGTCTAGATCGTTATATTATCCAACAATATAATAATCCCTATAACATTTATCAAAAACCAACAAACCAAACAAGATTCAGAGACCAAAAGGGTTAAAAAAGAGATCTTTCACCCATTCATCTCACTTACGACCGCGGATTCTGGCAATCCCTCGCAAAGTGCCCTGCCTCTCCACAGCTGTAGCAAGATCCACCGCGGCGGGCCTCCTTCGTAACTCCTCCCGCCACCCTCCGCTGCCGCTGCCCGCGAAGTCTCCTCGCCATGTGTCCAGTCTCACCACAAACTGTAACAGGCACCGGCACGCCTCCGCCTCCGCCATAGCCACTGCACCGCCCCTCCCCGCCACGGACCTCCGCCAACCGTCGCCGTTGTACCCGTACCCGACGCCACCTCCATAGCGCACGCCGCCGCCTTACCCACGCGTCACCGCCGCGCCACGGCGGTCCGTCGTCTCCCTTGACAGAAGATCCTCCAGGTCCGTGACGCGACGGCCTTGGCCGCGGCCAGTCGTCGCAGATGAGACTCTAAACTCGACAGACTCGCCGGGCCGAGAGTGCGCATATCCGTCGCGAGTTGACGCATGAGCTGGTGGACGAAAGAGGTCCCCTTGGACTCCGTCATCGGGGGTGATGAAGCCGTAGCCCTTGATGGTTTTGAACCATTTCACGGTCCCCTTCGATCGCTCGCTGGATTGAGCCATTGGATTCAGAGGATCGAGAGGAGAGGGAAGCGGTGAATAAAACCCTAACCCTAGCTTTTTTCGAGAAAGCGTGAAAGAGGAGAAAACCCTAGGTTTGAAATTCTTTGGATCGAGGCCGAGGTATTTAGGGCTGTTTGGTTGATGTATTTGGTATTAGGGGTTGGGCAGAAAGCCTGTCAAAAATGCTCTTTTGGCAGGCTTTCTGTTCAACCCCTAATGCTAAATACATCAACTAAACAGCCCCTAGGGAACGGAAACGTGGGTATGGGCGAAGGAGAACATGAACCATTGGATCGGATGTGGAATCTGAAACGTTGGATTTTGGGGAAAGGACAATCTTGTCCATACATGCGGAGAGCAAGGCTTTTTGTTGAGGTGGCATTATGCTTATTTTTTTATGGCTGAATAAATAGTACTACTGTCCTTTAATGTTTCACACTACTTTCTCACTTCTCGGGTGGCACTAGAGACACACATTGTGCCACACCTTGGTGCACACCCTTCTCTTAGCTACAGTGCAGGGAGCCCATTTGAGATTTATTTAAAAATCTCAAGTGGACCATCTGCACTGTAACTGAGAGAGGAAGGTGTGCCCCAAGGTGTGGCACAAGGTGTGCTTCTAGTGTTTTCCTTCTCACTTATAACCCCTACTTGTATTTAGTACTAAAAAAATGTTCTAGGATTTTTTAAACTTGAATCTACTCCTCTATACAAATGGGAGAACCCAAAATTCACTATTTATGCTACAGTAATGCTGTAGTCGCATTTACTGTAGGATTATTACTGTAGCAAACAAGAACGTGACAATGCAATTTTTTTTGAAAAACGTCACTGTAGCACAGGGGGGTGCTGTAGCATTTTTGAAAATTACAGTGTCATAAATGGGTTTCTGTGGCACTTCAAAAAAATCACTGTAACATTTGGAACCGGGATTACTGTAGCAAGAAAAAAATTGATATGTCGTGTTTTGCACGGTGTTCACACTAGTTAGATTGTATTCGGAAATACATGTGATTCTTTTAGGTCGTTTTCACATGAACATGATGTCTACTAATGATTGTTTTGGGAGATACGTATGTACCGGTATATAAAGAGTTTTCTCTGTAATTCCTATGTGAATGTGGGCAATGAGAAGCATACTTTCTTGGCTTGATAAATGGATTGGGAATTCTATTTTGGCCTTATAATTTCCTGCATTATTTGCCTTGCTTTGAGTCCAAGAGCCACTGTTCATCTTATAGGCCATCACTTGATTTAGATCGGACTTCGATTACTCTCTTTACAAGACAGTTTACTATTGATTGATTTAATCTTGCTAATATATTTTTCAGGAGATAAGACGTTAAAGGAGCCAAAACAATGTTCCGGAGGTGAAGCAATTACATAATGAGATTTTCAGGCCATTTTACAAGGGTGGCACTAGGGGCACACCCCCAACCACAACCTCAACCACACCACATCTCTCATTTACTACAGTACACCGGGTCCCACTTGGGATTTTAAAATTTTAAAATCCCAAGTGGGACCCGGTGTACTGTAAAAAATGAGAGAGGGGTGTGATTGAGGTTGTGGTTGGGGGTGTGCCCCTATCATTTTCTATTTTACAAGCAAAGGAATGAGGCTATTCAATCTAACACTTATTATTTGATATTTTTCTCAAACGTCAATAAATTTTATTTTGAGAGATTTGTCCTGGCTTATATTCATGCTGGGTATTTACACAGTTTGCAAATGCGATATTATATATCTAAAATATCTATGCTTTTATTTAAATTACTACTGGTATTGCATATTTCTTACTATATGTTTTCTGTAGTCTGGTGTACATTTGAATGCCAGTAGGACAGTAAATTTTACATTGAGTGCGTTTTATGTGCGTATGTCTATTGGCTCTAATGTTTGGGCTTGGGTAAATAGGCAATTAAATAATGTAGCAAAATACGACAATGTTATTCCTTTATTTTAGCAACAACAAAAAGAAACTAATGAAGCAAGTAACGTTATGGATAATATACAACGTATGAGAGACGTAAATTAATAATGTAATTTGTAGACTGTTGTTTGATGTTCATGTTGGGAATTTAACATAATTGGAATAAGTAATTGTACGATGTTTTTTGTTTTTGTTTTTGTTTTTTTCTTCTGTTGATGAAATGATTAATAATATGATTTGTTTAAGTTCGTTTCTGCAAGTAACGTTATGGATAATATACAACGTATGAGAGACGTAAATTAATAATGTAATTTGTAGACTGTTGTTTGATGTTCATGTTGGGAATTTAACATAATTGGAATAAGTAATTGTACGATGTTTTTTGTTTTTGTTTTTGTTTTTTTCTTCTGTTGATGAAATGATTAATAATATGATTTGTTTAAGTTCGTTTCT